TAATATTATTATTTGTATTGTAAAAATTTTTTTTTATACTTAAATTTTTATACTTAAAATTTTTTTACCACTAGCTTCGAAAGAAATTATTTTCTACAATTGGTTATGCTGATCATGAAAGTACAGGTTCTTGTTCATGTCCAGACTTTGGAAAAGAATCACAGTGCTTTTGAGTAGAATTAAGGAAAACTGGTTTCTTGGATCCATCTGAACCTAATTATGCCTTTGAAAGCTTGGATAAAAACAATAAATTAAGTGAGGCAATGAAATCATTTAGCTCAACAGCTAAAGCTCATCGAATAGATTTCATTAAAGAAAAACTAGGTTCAATAAAGCCATCTAGAAGAATTATGCACATCATACCAATTACTCTTGAAGAAGAAGAAAAGAAATTATCAGAAAATTCAATGTCAAACAGGGAATTAATATTGATAATTCAATCATTAATTGGATCATTAAATGAAACCAATTGTCCACAGTTCAAAGGACTGGCATCAAAAAAGAAAGAAGATTATTATTGATTTTGCAACAAATTAAAGATATTCACAATGGGACTGACAATGGTGAAGTAGAAGAGAGATGATTTGAAAAGAAACATGAAGAGAATTGAATCATGTGTTGTGTAATAATAAGATAAGTATTATCCAATGCATAATTTATTGATTATTTAATTCTAAATGTTTTGCCAACCCAGAAATTTGATCCTTTTCCTGCAAATTGATGTTATCAATAAACATTTAATTGATCAAATTTTATTTCTCTTTAAATTATTTTTTAGACATACCATACATGCTTAAACCAATAATAATGGATAATAACAACTTCATTTTCATTCACCATCATCAACAAATCCTTAATGTCAGATAACAATAACAACACAATAGAAAGAAATGATTCAAATCACAATTTATCATCATTGTATTAATATTAATTATATTAATCATTTTGTTCATGAATGAGCAATAAATTTTTGATTTTTACATGTATATATAATTTTTCTTGATATTCTTTAATTAGAGTTTTTTATTCAAATTATTTGTTTATTCAATTATTTGTTTTGTTCATTTCATTCAATTAAATTTTATTCAATTCAGAATATTTATTGTTGATCAATTTTTTGCATTAGCCACGTCGATCATCACATATTTGGAAATTCTAAATTTGGAAAGAACCCTGACTGTATTATTTACAATGAAATTGAAAACTTTCCAGGAGAAATCACTGCAAATATATATAAGATTAATAAAAATTAGTGAAAACTTGTAATTCAAAATTATCTTTTTTACTATATATTATTATTATTATAATATATATTAAAAAAATTAAAAAAAAATTTACTTCATTTTCTGATCTTTTCACCCAATTATTTGATAATGCTACCTTAAAATAAGAAGATCTTGCTTTCAAGATGTTATAATGTGCATTGAAAGCTTTAACATTCTCCTCTCCAACTTTAATCTTGACATCATAATAATCTGATCCATTCAACAAATCTGTCAAATCATTTAAATATGTTTTAATCAATAATGTTCTTGATTAACAAGGTGACATTTCCAAAGATGTATTATACCTTTTAAAGAATTTTTTAAAAAAATTCACCATTTATTCATAAGAAACTAGAGTGATGACAAGTGGTGGACGATAACCACCACCACCGTCCTTATAATAAACATTTATTTCTTCTTTCCTCTGATTTTTTGTCTCGTGGCATTTTTTTATTTTTTATTTTTAAAATAAAGAAATTTTATTTGATCAACAAACACATCATTAATTATTTATTATTGGCACTTGGTGTTGTACCAAAATTTTTTTTTGTTGATGTGATTGATTTTTTTTTTGGATTAGAAAAACAATTAATTTATTTCTTCGCAGAGTCCAATATGACAAAACGCGAGTCTCCTAAAGAAGATGTGTTAATAACTAATCAGAGGTACTTTTTCTTTGTATTGATATAATAATGTGGCATCTTTTATTTTATATAAATATTATAATTGGAATCAAAATGTGGAGCAGATCATTGCTGGGTAATAAGATCTTTATCAACAACGAACGATTGGCATTTTGCTTTTTGTATTCATTATTAATATTAATAATATTATTATATAATTTATATAATTAGAAGTCAAGGTAGCATGACTGACTGTTGCAGAAAGAAACAATTCAAGTATGCAATGTTTGATTATCAGGAATTAGCAGACGTTGAAGCATGCACACTGCCTTGAACACTTTACAGTCATTCCTCATGTACACAAAGGCTAATTTGACTAGTGTGCCTCGATGATACAATGATGTAGTTAAATTTTCAGGGGGGGATGTGGCTCTGAGATTTACTGAGACTGCATCAATTGTCAAGGACACTTTCACTAATCTTCCCTCACAGCACCCAGACCAGAGATGACCGCTGGCATACTAGTCAAAAAGTTGCCTGCAATGATCCCACCTCTAGGTAAGGATGGCTCTGTGACCAAGATGTCGCAACTCTGGTGGAATATCAAGAGAATCTGCAGCTCGTTTCAAGTGTAGGAGGTTGCAATCCATAGCAGGGTTTGTGGCCCTGAAATTGCATTTGGACTCTGATGTTAAGAGGAAAGTTGTAAAATAGTGTTTGTTTTGTATAATAATCATTTTCCTAAATTCTCTGTTTTTTTGATACCAACCAATTTATGATTTTGGGTAGGGGACTGAGCAGGATTTTTGCCCAACTAGTCCCCTGTTCTGTAGATTAAAATTATCACATGATTATATACATCATTGTCAGCAACATGGCCAACAAGAAAAAGTCATAAAAATGGTTCAGATTTGTTTGGTATGTTATAAATTAATCATTTTCATAAATTCTCTGTTTCTTTAATTTTTGTTTGACCAACTGAATTTGTTTTTCAAATAGGGGTAGGGTTGTTGGTGAGTAGACATGCCACCAACAAGACAGCAACCCAAGACTCAAAACTCTGAATTCGGGGAAAATCCAAAACAGCAACCCAGATTGCAATCTCCTGAGCTGGAGAATTTTCAAGAGGAGTTTTATCAAAATATTTGCCATAAATGAATTATTATTTTTAATGTTATTTTTGTTATTATGCGTGTCCAGGGTTGTTGTGAAACAACATTAATTCGTGTTTCGCGAAATACAAAAGTCTGTTATGCAGGAAACGTGCCATGTCGATCATATATAAAATCAGTAACCGTGAAAAGCATAGTGGGAGGTTTGATTGGCCAAATATTTTGTGATCTACATGTATCTATGGACACATGCATCTAAAATTCGTTATACTATCAACAAAGTTTTTATTAATTCGTGTTCCGTGAAACAAGTAGAGAAAATTAATAGTCGATTTTGGTGCTAAATTTTGCTGATCATTAATTGATTTTTTCCGAAGCCCAAGTTTTAGTCCTAAGGTAACCTTCCTATATATGGATTTAGAAACAACAATTATACTTGTA